AAACCCAAATTATAAATAAAGAGAAAAATATGTATCATAGGAAGTAAGGAGATGAATCTTTCTTGAACATAAAGGAATCAAGAGATAAGGGAAGTGAACTAAAAGAGAACTAGAATGCGTCCATAAACCAGCTCCACACACACAATGTATTCTTCACTACAAACGTACTACTAATAAAATCTATTAAATCAGTTTTGTTAATATTGTTACATTTTCTATGTCATGTATGTCACCTGCTTGTTCTGTAATCTACTGAAAGACACACTGAAATATTCCATTGTACCTGAGAATGTGTTTTTCCGCACAGTTCTGAATATGTTCAATTCATGCATTTTGGAGTAATGTGTATTTGTTTCACCTTCCAAGTGAGCTCAGCCTTTTATTACTGTAACCTTTTTTTTCCCCATTTCATATCCCTTCTCTTTCTTCCTCTTCAATAGACGTGTTTTAAAATTATTTTTTAAGTAGTTATACTTTGGTGGACATTTCAGATCCAAACTATGTCACCAAAATAATGTTTCAAGAATGTGGTTAACAGAGCTAGTCTCACAGGATGAGTAACAAAACTTTATCCTAATAAAACTGTATTAAGTAAAAGACAATTTAGTACCAGTTCAAGAATGGGCAAGTTCACATATCCCAGAAACAGATATATCAGATTTTTTTAGATATCATTGCAAAATAGTATGAAAAATACATTGTTTTTAAACAGTTCTGAGAATATGAGAAAGGATTGGAGATACTCCTAGACATATACTTCATACTACATAAAAATATTTAATTATAGGTAACTTACTTCCTATATGTAAAAATTAAAACCAGAAAATTTATCGCATAAGAAAATATGACCTTAAAGTATAAAACTTACATCATACAAAGCTCTAATTATAAAGGAAAGAGTAATAACTTTGCTTACCCTAAAGAGTAAAAATCTGCGTTTCTGAAAGGTACATTAAAAGTGAAAAGCCAGTAAGTGAGAAATTCTACATATATAACTGGGAAAAGGCTTGAATGTTCAATATATAAAAATCCCCACAAATTGTTAAGAAAACCTGGTAGGGAAATGAGGAAAAAACATTGGCACACACTTGACAAAAGATAAAACCCGAGTAGCCAATACTGCCATGAAAATATGCTCAATTTCATAATAGGTAGTATAAAATAAAACCACTATAAAACACTTCTATATACCTTGTCTTAGTTACTTTACGATCATTGCTGAGACAAAATACCTGATGCCCAAGTTGGGAAAGGAAAGGTTTATTTCTTACAGTTTTTGGAGGTTTCAGTCCACACTCAGTTGGCTCCAAGACAGGCGGGCATGGCTGGACCACAGTTCATGGCGGCCACCCACAGTGAGCTGAACCAGCAAAGAGAAAGACACACCTTCTTCCTGACATTACATCACATCCTGGCTCCACCCCTATGTGGGTGGAGCACTGACATCATCAATCCAAGCACTATACAATGAACCATCACAAATGAACAATGCAAACTCATGAGGCCTGGGGGACACAAACATAAGCCATGACATACCTACTGGAAAATCTTACAATACCAAGTATTAATGAGAGCGTGGAAACTGTCCTCAAGTGCTGGTAGAAGTGTTAATTGATGCAACTCTGAAAATAACATCTTGAAACTAGCATATAGGCATTGCTGTCTTTTTCATCCATCCCATTTTATACCCAGAAACCTGTGCAGGTGTTCACCAGAAGCTACTGCAGGTACTTTCAAGGCAGCATTATGTATTATAACAAAAGATTTGAACAAACTCATAACTGTTAAAAGTACAATGATCCATAAATTGTGGTATATTCATATAGTGGGAAAAAAGAAATGGAAATGAACGAAGACAACTGTAAACATTACTGTGGGTGCATGAGTCTTTAAATTATTTTGAGACAATGGCTTGTTACACAGTTGAAGCTGGTCTCAGACTGTATAGTCCTGGCTGGTCTTGGAATCAAAATAATCTTGGTGCCTCAGCCTCCCTAGTGCAGGGATTACTGGCTTGTTCTTGCCCAGTTCTAGTAATAGGAATCTTACAAACATAGTGTCTAAGTGAAAAAGCCAAGGTTGAAAAATGGGAGTTGTTGATTTCACATATGTGAAGTTCTAGAAGAGTATAAACTAACTTTTTAGGAATGGTTATTTTGGAGAAACAGTAAAGAAAGGTATCAAACTTGTTACCATAACAATGCAGGCATTGACTAAGAAGCAGGGAGGAGTTCACAACCAGAATGCACATAGGGGCTTTCTGCAGTTTCTACAATTTTAGCAATAAATTTCTTGATCTAGACAATGAGATGTGGTAATTTTTTCCTAGTTAATTGAGTATTCTTACTATTTATATTTTGTGCGTTTTTTGCATAAAAGGCTATTTAATACATAAATGTAATATAAACATGTACACTTATTTATGCAAAAACAGTCATGATAAATATGGATGTCTTTGAACAAAACAGTGTGAATAAATGTGCTAAGCCTGTCTGCTTTGCTAGAATACCTTCTTAATTCTAATTAAAACAATTTATGCCTCCTAAACATATTTTGAATTGTAGTGAAACTAAGAAGAGAGATCTGTGGTCTTTAATCTTAACACATTCTATTTTTTTCTAAATGACTTACATCATACTCTTAAAGCGATGTTTTTTTCATCTCATTGGTGGTTCTGTAAACTTCCATCGTGATCTTCAGTCAATTATTAGGCCACAGAATTACTTATGTCCTCCTTGCATACTTTCACAATAAGTGGGGGTTTTTGTTTTGTTTTTGCATTCTCTACACCTTTACCTCTTTTATAATTGTTTTGTGAATAGAGTGATATCTTTGAAAACTTTGTTTCTGGACTTTGTGTACTACTTGTGGTTTTCTTGGCATATAAAGGAAAGTAATTCTGACATACAGTCTTAAATAATACACATTGGGATTTGTATAGGTCAGAGGTTTTAGTATTTTCAAGGAGTTTGGTTTGGTTAGAAGAGATCTCAGTATGCAGTCCAGGGTGTCCTCAAGATTCATTGTGTAGCCCAGCCTGGCCTTGAACTCATGATCTCTCTTGTCTCAGTCTCCCAGATGCTGGGTTTACAGGCAAGCACCGTCCAGGGAAGCACCGTCCTGCCAAGCTGATGACTTTGGATTTCTGTCATGCTTTTAGTCTTGCTTCTGTAACCAAGGAAATGCCTTACTTTCAGAATAGCATTGTACATTTATACCTTTACAAAAAACATATTCTAAGTTGACTTTATGTGTCTTTTGAAATGGTATTCAAAAGAAAATCAGTAGCACTGAGATAGTAAAAAGCTAAGTATTTATATATTAAAATTGCCTAAAAGAGAAAATCTCAAGTATATATTTTTTAAAGTCTTTTTTTCCCTTTGAAATGATGAGCTAAAACTACTATTGCTATGTATTTGTGCACAGTTTAATGTATACAGTTTAGGGAAACGAATTACCAAAGTAAAATCCAACTAAAAAATTAAAATCTCCCATGTCACAGTTGTATTTCTAATGTTAGTCTGTTGACATTTCTCTGAAGATATCTCTAAACCATTTAGACTGACCAGTTGAAAGCATTAAATTGACTTCATCAGGTGTGGTGCACACCTGTAATACCAGCACTCTGAGAGTCTGAGGCAGTAGAATTACAGGTTTGAGCCCAGCTTGGCAATTACTGAGACTTTGTCTCCAAAAAAATTTTTAGTAAAGGTCTTAAGATGTACCTCAGAGCAGAGGCACTGAATTCAATCACTAGTACCATCCCCCCAAAATTATGATATGGGGGTTGGAGTTTGCTATAAAATTCATTTTTAAAAAAATACAGGGCTGGGGATATAGCTAAGCAGCATAAGTGGCTGCTTGGCAAGTTCAGGGTTGTAAGTTCAGTTCCCATTAGTGGTCAGTCAGTCAGTCAGAAAGGAAGATGGGGTGGGGAAAGGGAGAAAAGGAAGGGATCTTTCCATGTTTTAAGTTAACTGTTAAGAATTTTGAAGGTTTTTCTTTTTTCTTTCAACCAAAACATTTTAAAGCATTCAGAAAACAGGTACAATGAACCAGTTCATTTTTTCAGGGGTGGGTTTTTGTTTTTGTTTCTTTGTTTTTGCTTTTTTTTCCCTCATGTCTTTGAGACAAGGTTTCCTTGCCATCCTTGCCCAGGCTGTCCTTGAACTCACAGCAGTCCTGTCTTAGCTTCCCAAATGCTGAGATTACAGGCATGCATTGCTGTACCCAGCTATGAGCCACTTTGTACCCAAGATCCCAGAAAGCTTTGAATTAATGAAAACTTACGCCCTTTTTAAAAAACATGAGTTTTAAAATTCAGAAGATAATAGATGCACTATACCAGAAAAATTAACATTTAGTCAAGTGTGGTTAACACATCCCTGTAATTCCAGCACTCCGGGAGACTCAGCCAGAAAGATCAAAAGTTCAGTCCATGCTGGGCAACTTAGCAAGACCTTATCTTAAAATAAAAAAGAACTAGAGATATATCTCAGTTTGAAGGTTCTGACTTAGATCTTTAATACCATACACATGAACACAAGCAAGTTTAAGATCTGTACAAATATGAGGCTATATACTTCTGGTGTAGGTTGAAATTTAATAATAACTTCATTTTTCAACAGTATTCAAGACCTATTACGAGATGTATTTTAAGTTTGTATGGCAAGTATGTGTGTTTAGGCATGATGTAATAACAGAATCTAACATTGCCTTTAAAGTTAAACATAAAATCTAGAATAATAGTAGAGCGTTAGTAGTTATCTTCACAACTGAGAAATGATTTGTTTAAGAGATACATCACTTGCAAGATAAATTTCAAATGGAAAACAATGAAATAATAATTGTTGTATTTTTAAACTGTACTGCTACTTTCTTTTGAAACACAAATCTTTGAAGGTGGATGTATCTAAGTCATGCCTTTTCCTGGTTACATAGTGGAGTTTATTCCAGTTCTATTTGATCTAAAGTTTTGGTGTTTTTTTCATTGTTTTTAGATGCTATTAAACTACAACTGGTTGAAGCAGGCCTGGTAGAGTGTCTACTAGAGATTGTTCAGGAGAAAGTAGATAGTGACAAAGAAGATGACGTTGCTGAACTTAAAACTGCTTCGGATCTAATGGTTTTGTTACTTCTTGGAGGTAAGTTGTAACTTATGCCAAAGAAAATGGTTGTCAAGTTATGTATTTTAAGTTTCATTTCTTAGGAAATGAAAGTGTAGGTACTACAGTAGGCGTTTTCTGATTTTTCTCTCATCTTGTTGATGTGATGATATTGAAACCCTAACCACATTGTGAAAAGAAATAGAAATGATGAGCCTTTGGCTGTCCTTCAATAACTGAAGGACTGTCATGTGAAAGAAAGCGTTATGGTACCAGTTGAAACAAAACTAGAAAACTACTGAAACTTGTATTGAAAAGTAAACTCTATTATCTAATTGCCACTAAAAGCTTATAAAAAAGAAAAAATACTTTTCACATAATGATCATAATAATTTGTGTCTCCTGTTGTGTATTCATTTGGGAATATGAATTTGTCACTCCTAATTTAAATATTTAACTATTTGTTTCATTTACCTCCAGATGAATCCATGCAGAAACTCTTTGAAGGAGGGAAAGGCAACGTGTTCCAAAGAGTCCTTTCTTGGATTCCATCAAATAACCACCAGCTACAGCTTGCTGGAGCATTGGCAATTGCAAATTTTGCCAGAAATGGTAAACATATTAGCTCTCCCAGAGTAAATCAGATGTTGGGCTTTTAAAATTTTTTAAATTTCCTGTCACATGTACCTAAAACAGGAACATTTCAGAAATTTGTGTGCTGCTTTCTTAATTTTCAGCAGTGTACAATACTTATAGTGACTTTCCTATTTTAAATTCATTTGTTGGGTATTTTTTGAATTAGGCTGACCTTGAACTTGCTTATATAGTGCAGATTAGTCTCAAACACACAGCAATCCTCCTGCCTCAGCCTCTTGAGTGCTGGAATTACAGGTGTGCGCCTCCGCATCCACCCATAATTTGTACTTTGACGTATTTCAGACTGGATTTTTGAATTAGGATTGCTCAATCTGTATATTAAAATGGCTGACTTACCCCATTTTTTACTCCTTGTTTTTGGAAGTAACTCTGTAATAATGAACTTAAGACTGGCAAAATACTGGTAATTACCAAAGCTAAATGTGGGATAAATAATGGTTTGTTATATATAATTCTCTGTTTTGAAAAATAAGTATTAGCTATGTTAACAGAAGTTAAATGTCACTAATTTTAGCAGAACACATGCATACTTCTCTGTAAGTGAAAAGTGTTGGCAGACACTTCAAGAATGTAGTTTCTATTTCTGATAGATGCACACTGTTATCAGACTACATATGGGATTTTTCTGATCCTTCTAATTTTCAAAATTTTGCCTAGGAATTTTCATAATTAGACTTCTTAGGAAATGAAAAAAACAATCTATGAATCTGAGGGGAGAAATAATTGGAGTTCATTTTATTTTGATACAGCTCCATTTTTCCCTGTGTAGATCATGACCTGGTACAGTACCAGTATAGTATCAGTACTATAAAATGTTCCTACATATTTTTAAAGAGGATTAAAATTATATGTTTTATTCAGATGGAAATTGCATTCATATGGTAGACAGTGGAATTGTAGAAAACCTCATGGCTTTGCTGGACAGACACGTGGAAGATGGAAATGTAACTGTGCAGCATGCAGCCCTGAGTGCCCTCAGAAATCTAGCTATTCCAGGTAAGATTTAAAAATAGGAGAGAACTCTGTAGAAAATAAAATCTGTTATGGAGGGAAGATAATTATTCTATGTGATTGGTGGACCTTCCAGGATCAAGAAAAGGGAAAAAAAGTCTTCAAGTTGTTTACAGTTTTCTTATTAATAAATAGAGAGTATAACAGTAATATTGTGTATTAATGTCTGCATCATACTAATACAGTTGGATAAAGGATAATTATAAGGGAAAAGATTTATTAAAGTTGAGGAATATGCCTTTTGTAAGTAAGGCAGCATGTTTAGATTTTCTTAACAAATTATATATGTAATTGTTTTGAGATTAGGTTAAAAAATACGATTTTGTATGTTACACTCCTGTAGACAAATAAGATAAGATACATATACAATCTCATTCTTAAAATTTATAGATAATATAATTTTTGACATAGAAAAAGACAGTAAATGTGTTTTGAATTGAATGTTTATCATCAAGAATGCTGACACCACTTGAACCATAATCTCTCTCTTTCTAGTTGTAAATAAAGCAAAAATGTTGTCAGCTGGGGTCACAGAGACAGTTTTGAAGTTCCTTAAATCTGAAATGCCTCCTGTTCAGTTCAAACTTCTGGGGACACTAAGAATGTTAATAGATGCCCAAGGTAAAAGAAATGCTTTCCTGAAGTGCATTAATGTGTGATACTCTTAAATATGCTTCTGAGTAAAAAGGGACTTAGTTTTTAGTGTTCAGAATTATTTAATTACAAAAATAAAGGCAAATAAAGGTTAAGAGATTGGTTTTGTAATCTACTCGTTAGTTCTCTTACTTTTTACAGCTGGCTTTCAGTGGAAATTATACTGATAATCCTGGCTTTCAATTGCTTTAATATGGTTTCCTGAGGATTTCTGTTTTGACTTTACCTATCCAGTATTTTCTATCTCTTCAAAATCTTGTTTCAGTACAATGGCAGTCAAAATTTTTAAAATTTTACAAACAGCATTTTTCTGTTTGCAGAAACAAAATCGTGCTAGGGATGAATTATGTTTATTTAGCCATTTCTAAATTCTAGGGGTTCCTCTACATTGATTGCTTGGAGTCTGTTTAAAAATCCTTTCTTACAGTCTGCCAGAGTACTAACAGAATTTGAAAAATAAAGTCATTTAGTTTTGTATTTTGTATGAAAGCTCTTGACTCAGTGGAAAAAAGCCAAATAGTACATCAGGTAAAGAGTATTTGCAGGTTTTGCTTTAATGAAATCATTGTGCTGTTTTTCGGACAGTTTTTTTTTTTTTCATACTCTTTAACATTTTTAACAAGTTTTTCAGATGATCGGCTATTAGTAATTTCTTTTGTTTGCCTTCTTTCCTGCAGCAGAAGCTGCTGAACAGCTGGGGAAGAATGTTAAGTTAGTGGAACGCTTAGTGGAGTGGTGTGAAGCCAAAGATCATGCCGGCGTGATGGGAGAGTCAAACAGACTGCTCTCTGCCCTCATCCGACACAGCAAATCAAAAGTAAGTTTCTGAGGAACCCAGTGCACACACAACTTCACAGTGGTGGCCAGTGCTGTAGTGCCTACATCATGAACTTTAGTTTTTATGTGTTTTATGTAAATAGATGAATCAAAAATTCAGAGAAAAATGAAGATTGAACCTTGCAAAATTTAGTTTTATTCCATCATAATTAAGAGTAAGATTTTAGTTGGATGTGGTGGCTTATACCTATAACCCCAGCACTCAGGAGGCTGAGGCAGGAGGATCACAAATTTGAGGCCAGACTGGGCTACTTACCAAGTTCAAAGCCGCCTGTAATTAGATAGCAAGATATTATCCCCAAGAAAACCAAAAGCCCTGAGTGGGGAAGTAAAACTAAATAGGGATGGGTTTACCTTTTTTATTTGCCATTTAAATGATCAAGGGTCATCACATTTAGATACAGTAATACATAATACTGAGGTGATACCAACCTGTTGAGTATTGTGAGGATTCAGTGAAGTCATGTCTACCAAGTGGCCACTGATGGTACCACACACATAACAAACATTCACTAAATGGAGGTTGTTATGGCTATTGATCCTGACATTGTCTTACTTTCATCACCACTGTTTCCAGCATCAGTGTCAAACACCTTCTGTGTCCCAGGTACCAACTATGCCAGCTGTTGGTACTTAGAAATGAAATGACACCTAGGCAGTGAATGTTGCTCATGCATGCCGTATCAGTATCACCAGCTTTGTCATTGCCTACATATGGTACACGATCCATGAACAAACAGAAAGAGGAAATGCAGCTGTTTGTTTATTATCTAGATTATATAAGTATTCTTACATTGTTTTCTAAGATAAGCCTTTTGTACTTGTTGTACAGCTGCAATAGTGATTGTTTCAGAAGAAAGTCACTTTAGAATTCAAACTTAATATTTATAGAACAGATAAAAAGATGTCAAGAGAAAAAAAAAAGTAAAGGTATTCCCTTAACTCAAATAGATCTAGTTCATATAAATAATAGACTTCATTGTCATAGCTGTCTCAGCCAGCTCAACTCACAAGTGTTCCCATCAGATAGACGCTGTGTGTTGAGATCATCCACTGGGGAAAGACTCTTATTACCTGCCTTATCCAGAACCTGCTCAGATATGGAGAAAAGAAAGCAGGTGTACAAAAGTGCAGAAGACAAGAAACAGCCTAATTTTAGAAAGAAACTACATGCAGTGGAAATGTATAGGGACAGTGGCCAGAGAGGGTGAGAATGGGAGAAATGAATGACATGGTAAGGGGGAGACTGGATTTGTTTCTTGGGAAAAGTAGGAGCTGTTAACAGGATCTAACTGACAGAGTGCCATTACATAGTTCTTATTTAGAATTTAATGGAGACAAGAGTTGAAAAGTTAACCCCAAAATATCCATAAGATATGATAAGCATCTAAATTGAAGTGGTTTGGGTTGAATAATTTGAAATTTCTGAAACTGTCTACCAGTTTTCAGTTTTCACTTGTTTCATTTCGTGGTTCAGCTGACCAGTAGCAGTAGGTTGCAGTGGAAAAGAAGAGATGGACCTGAGAAAGAAAGGTTTCCTGAAAGTTTCCAGGAAGAGGTGGTATAGATAATCCCACATCTGGGGCTTGGCCTCAGGTCGAGTCGTGTCATTCATCAGAATCAGACATACTGGGAAGAGAGGCTGCTATCACTCCCTCACTTCTGCCCAGCCCCTCTCCTGTGCTTTTCGTAGGGATTTACCTCTAAAATTCTTTCATCTTTGAATCCCTTTGCTCCATTCCATAAATATTCCCACCAGTAGCTTAGCAGTCTGGCAAAATCATAATTGTTTCACATTACAAATAAGAGAAACATTCCTTACATCTGAATTTGGAACTCTCAGATAAAATTCATATTACATGTGGTAGTAAGGCCCACAAAGTCATGATTAATTCATTATGAATGAACAGTATTGATACAGCCAAACCCTTAGTGGGAGCAAAAATGTGTTCACAGAAAGATTGATCTCAGCTTTTCAAATGATAGTATTTAGCTAAAACTATTCAAATGCTATAATATTAAGTTGAAATTTGAAGATTTTTCTTTTTTTAAATTTTATTTAAGGAGAAAAGAAAAAAAAAAGCAGGGAAAGGGTACAAGTTATACAGATTTATAGAAAAAAAATGAAGAGTAGGAAATCACTAGTTAATGGATTACATATTGTCATCTTAGGAAATTTGAAGATTTTTATGGCATTGTGAATTTCATGTATCATAGATTTCTCTTTCCCTTACCTAACCTTGTAGTATCCCCACCAAAAAAAAGTTCCATGTGGGTCTTTTGAAATACAGGAGAAATATGACTGTACTTTCCTAACTCAATGTGTATATATGTCACAATAAACAATTAGAAATTTTATAGGATTGTATAATCACAGGACTTTAGGTTTACAGTTCAGTACAAATGGTATTTTTTCCTTTATATATCTTTCCTATAGTTGGGAGTACACTACTATTAAGCAGCAATAGAGATCTTGGTTCACATGCTTGGTCAGAATCATACAGATATATTCTTTATATGAGTACCAGATCAGAGCTATTCATTTTACCTTGTTTTTAAATTTAAAAAGTACTGAAGTGCAGTTAGCCAGGAATGTAGCTTAGCAGCACAGCATCTGCCTGGCAAGTGAGAGGCCCTGCGTTCGATTCCCAGTACTAAATAAATAAATGGATTTGATGATGTCTTTTGAGAAACAGTTCTCAAAGTATGTTGCAAATAGTAATTGCAAGAAATGTTCGACAGAATGAAAATGGTTGTATGGTTGAGTTGATTACAGAAATAGTCCTTCACTTTCCCTTACTTCTGGGCCTCACAGGACACTTACTGATATTCTAGAGAAACTCCTTAACTGTATGTGATCTTCTGATATCCAGACTGTTTTACAAAGCATAGTTTTACAAGTGGCATCTAACATGTACTGTACTTTGGAAAATATTGTTCTGCAGTACGACTTTAAAATTATTACACACCAGCTACAAATTTGTCACATTCTTGTCTTTAACCAGCTGTTAACAATCACAGCTATCTATTTGTATTTCTTCATATGATTTTGTTTTATTACCCATTTTTTCCATTTTTTGGTTTTTCATCAGCACACAAATGTTTCTTATCTGAGCCTGGGCAAGATTTTAAGACCAGGGGCTGGGGATTTAGCTCAGCGGCATAAGTGCCTGCCTTGTAAGCAGGCAGTTGTGAGTTGTGAGTTCGATCCCCGGTACCGATAAAAAAGAAAAAGACCAAAAAAAAAAAAAAAGATTTTAAGACCAGCAACTTTCCAAAGCCTCACATTTTTGCAGTCTCCTTTCAGTCATGCAATATATGATTATTGGTTCTTTGGGGCATTAACCAACCAAGGTGATGGAAGAATTTAATGATATTTAATTCCATGACTGAGAATGGATGTAAAATCACTAAAGTTCAGACTGGAAGTTATTTTAAAGATGTTATTTCCAAATCATTATGCGCATACGGCAACAGAAGAGTATCATGCCTCAGACAAAAACCCCAGAGTTGTTCTTAAGGCCAGGTTGTAGGCATTTGTACTGCGATCTATACTTTCTTCTAATGACTACCCCCACCTGCAAGGTTTCGTCTCATAAGCCTGCCACTTAACCGATGTTTTCTATACATTGTGGCTTTGAGAAAACACCAGCTTGAATATTTGCAGTACTACTTAGTAGCGATTTGACCTTGTGCGTTTTAAAATTTTTTTATTATTTTAATTGTACAGATTTTATGAAGTAAATTTTGATAATTTGATAGATAATATACACTGTGTAATGATAAAATTAGGGTAGTTAACATTTCTATCTCTTTTAAATGTATTAAAATTTTGATTAACCTGATAACTTTTACATATTTATGAGATAAGAGATAGTTCTGTACATGTGCAGAATTACATATTAATGAAATCAGGGTATTTAATGTTTCTTTTTCCTTGTGTTTTTGTTTGAAACCTCCCAGTTCTTACTTATGCTTATTCATTAATATGTGACAGAGTGCAGGGAGCTGTGGTCTTGTGCTGTGCTGTCAAACACTGGAACTTCCTATTTCTAACTCTGTTTCTGGTTATCCAGTCTCCTGCTGTTCTTCTCACCCACCCCCCAACTCTTCCCAGCTTTCTGGTAATCACGTCTATATTCTGACTGACTTATTTATTAACATGACAGAGACCATGTGACATTTGTCTTTCTCAAATTTAACATAAACTCTGTTCCATTTCACTGCACGTGGTAGCATATCATTATTTTTACAGCTAGAGTTCCATTTGCATATATATTACGTTTTATTTATCCATCCATCCACCGATGAATATTTGAGATGGTTCTGGATGTTAACTGTTGTAAATGATACAGTAGCAAACCTGGTCACATAAGGGGAGGCAACCATCTGATATACTGATCCAGTTCCCTTTGTATGTATGCACATCCAGATCCCTTGGTAAATCTATTTTTAGTTTCTTTAGCAGCCTGCAAATTGTCATGACCTTTAGGGATTTGGTATTTAGCTGTATTTTGAGTACATAATGTCCTGAGATCTCAGTTCAAGAAAATCCTTAGGAGGTGGCCATGAACTTCTCTAGGAATTTCAGTTTCTTAGGTTTAGCATTGATGTTTCAGGTTCTGTGTTCTACTTCTCCAGTTCTCTTCAAGTTGAAGTGTGGCATTTTGAACTCCTTGGGTTGTTTCTGTGGTGGCTGCTACCATATCCCCACCCTACTGGCACTTCTATGATTAGCAGGCCCTGAGCTGTCATCACCAACCCTTCATGGAACAGGGCACCCATAGCTTGAAGGCTTGTGCTACAGGACTGCAGCCATGTTTGTGCCACTCAGATTTAATTCTTAAACTTTGAAGATCATATGCCTTTAAAAATTACTGAAAAAAAAAATCACTCTGAAGTCTCTTGTAAAGTTCAGCTGTTTAGACGTCTGCACTGACTCACTCAGTTCCACACTCCTTAGTCATCTGAGCCATGTGCAGAATAGACTACTACTGTTCTGTGCCAGTAGGTAAACTCACATTTTCCCTTGAAAGAGGGTCCTGGGCTAGCTAAATGAATAGCTGCAGATAGCAAAAACAGGAAATAAAATGTTTTCCTTTACACTAAGTCTGAAATCTCCTGCTTATGAAGTTGGTACTTTACCCTTTACAATATATAAATTCTTTAGCTATTAAGCTAAAATTGTGGTTAAACAAATCTAATCATTTTCTCATTCATCCAAGAAACATGTATTGAAATCCCATACTGAGAAGACTGATGATTCAATAGGGGGAAAAAATGCTAGAGGACTCAGTGATTATGCCAACCTCTGCAATCTTAATTAATTGATGATCTCAAACTCAGTCCTATCTCAGAACATTCTGCTGTGATCGACTTCATATTATATAGCTTTTAACAAAGTTTTGAACTATTTGTTTCAGTAATCAAGTGATTACTGAAACAGTACTGTTTCAGTATGCGAAATAGATGAAATTGTTGGCATAGGTCATTTGCTTTAGTTTTATGTATACCAAAACTTAGTTTTCAATAAGAAAACTCCTTGAGAAATAGAAACATAAAAATACCAGTAAACATTTGTTAAAATAGTTGGAGCAAAGCTGGGCATTTTAAAAAGAAATAATCATATATGTTTTGGGAAGAGCCATAAAACACCAGCTTTATTTGAGTTTAAGGGAGGGACTGTTCATTTCTGATATACAGACTTCCTTTACCCATTCCTTGCTTTTCTACTACAGTGGACATTCAAGGTGAATTGAAAACCAGAAGAGGACATGACAATCTGGACCTTCCCATGCATCCATAATGTGTGCTTTATTTACTCAGAACAAGATAGTGTGCTTTTTTATAAAATACTTTCATATTTTAAGAATTATGATTTAAATAAACTATCATCAAGCAAGCAGTAAATCAGAATGTTAGAAAAGGTTTAAAAGACAGTCACTTGATTTTCTCGAAGTTAATGGGAAAAGACTAAATGCTAAAACTCAGCTACCATAAAAATGCTTAGACTCTACTGATTTCAAATGTTTGGTCACTAAACAAGTGTGGGTGCCAAGTAAAGATATTTTCTGCCCAGAAATTTAGCTCAGTGGCATAAGCACCAAGTGTGAGGTCATGAGTTCGATCCCCAGTACCACCCAAAAAAAAAAAAAGATATTTTTGGGGGGGCTGGGGATTTAGCTTAGTGGTGTAAGCATCTGTCTGGCAAGCAAAGTCTCGAGTTCAGTCACCGCAAAAAAAGAAAAAATATTTTCTGTATTTCTTAAAATATACATAAAATGGAAGCATAAAAGAAACCTCAAAAACCTTTGTTCAAATATTTGAAAAAATATTTATAATTATTGTGTACCATTGAAACTAACAGAATACTTTAAAAATATCTACAGCTTCAAATTACTAAAAGTAGCAAAAGTTAGCAAAGAAATTACTTTTTAAGTTTTCTAAATTTGAGATGTCAGTCTAAATCATATTTAATCTGAGTTCTATGCCAACAAAACCCTTAATGAAATAAAAGCAGTATGGTTACTGGAAATAAGTGATTTTTTTTTATTCAGTCTTAACTTTTTCCATGTATGTGCTGTCTGTGTAATAACTTCATCAGTCACATACTTACATCACATAGCAGCATAGATAAACGCACAGGTAATAGTGGCTGGGTTTGTTGTTGGCACAGTCAGTGACCCCCTGCTTGGGGAACAGCTTGGGCACCAAGAGAAACGAGGGCAGAGAGAGGATTTGGATGAAAGTTCTGCTAAGTCCTTGAGCGTGCAGTTCCAGCAGTCCAGTTGTTATATTTGTCAGAGTGAATCAAGTGGCAAAAGGTAGTTTGTAAAAATTATTTATAAAAACTGTAACCAGAGGATATGGAATTATAAAAATTATAGAACTTTTTTTAAAATCTAGGTCTTCTTTTAAGGATCCTGGGGAGGTCAACATTTAGCCAGTGGTGCTTTTATTTCTTTGTGTTTGGTAGCTTCTAGGCTTCTCTTGTATCCCACATGAAATGCAGTGGTCTTTTTCACTCATGCAGTGTAAGTTGACATCTTTTGATGAATTTATTTAAAGCTAAAAGCTTTTTCCCTTTTCTTTTGTGAAGAAAAAAATTTATGATTAAAATGAAATGAGTCATCCTGGACACTGTCACAAAACCACTCAACCTAACAATGAATTGACTGATTTTAATGTAGCTTATTTATGTTTAGAATTAAATTTTATAATTCTGTGATGTTTATTTATTGTAGGATGTAATTAAAGCCATTGTACAAAGTGGTGGCATCAAGCATCTAGTTACCATGGCAACTAGTGAACATGTAATAATGCAGAATGAAGCCCTTGTTGCTTTGGCACTAATAGCAGCTTTAGAATTGGGTAAGTACTTAAATTACAAATTTATTTTCTCCTATTTTTATCTTGGATGAAGGGAGCACAAAATTTCAAAGTCAGAACCTTAATTGAAAGTATTTTGCTCTAGGTAATTGTATTTGAAAATACGGAAAGTCATTAGGTTGCTACCACAGTTGTTCCTTTTGGTTATACTTTTGGTAACATATTTAGGCCAGTGCTTCATGGTTGGTCTAACTTTTAAGCAATATCTCAGTTTATAGCCACATAGAGAATATAGAAAATATTTTCAGCAGGCCTTCCCAGAAAATTCTTGAGAATAAAGTACCCTACAAATTAACCCTAGAATTGCAGTTCAGGAACTTGCAATGTATTAGAAATGCCTTAAACACCCCAGTTAATCAACTGAAATTAGAAAAATCAAAAGTATGTTTACCAATTAGGTAAAACTTGTAATTTGATTTTTTCTGTAAACCCCTTAAGCCTGACAGGACTTTACTGGTTCAGCCACAGACCAGAGCTGCCTTTGCACTGGCTCCCTTCATGCTTGCTTTGAAGTGGAAAGACAATCCTGCTTCATCCTCCCACTGCTGGGCCTCATCTCTTGGCTTGTGCTTTCCTTCCAGCTACACTGAGGCGTCATTTAGTCTCGGTCCCAGCCAAGCTGCAATTCTCAGACTCACTTTACTTTGCTCACTCACACACAGTTACATGTTTTCCTTGCACCCTTCATCCTACTCACATATATTCTTACAGCTCTCCTTTTCCAGTGGTTTTTCCAGGTGTAGGATCACTTTCTTGGTTTTCTCTTGCTGGGACAAAATAGCCAAAATGAAGGAAGAAAATGTTTATTAGCTCACTGTTTGTGGAGGTTTCATTCTATAATCAGCTGGCTCCAAGGCAGGGTGGCATAGCTCTGAGGCACCACTTGAAGGCAGCAGCCAGAGCAAAACAGGGGAAGAACGAGCCTCTATTCCTCCCTTATATTGTACAGAGACCACAGCGGCTCTCCAGGGCAGGTATAGCACTCACACAATCTCTTTCCTCTTGCTCAGGATGAGGATGCTACAAACAGGTACTCTGGCCCCCTGCTGAGTCACTTAGTTAAAATTCTGACCTTCTCCATTTGACACAATGAACAGTATCCTAGAAGGGTAACTACTGGTTCTCTACACTGCAGGATGTAGAGCTGCTGAGTCACTTAGTTAAGCTTCTGGACTTCTCAGGTTGACACAATGGATGAACCCTAACAATCCTGAGGCCTCCCCATGTTGGCCACTCCTGCAGTTCCAGCACTTCCTGCTCAGCTGGCATTGCCCCACTACGCCTCCCCCTGCTTGTTTCCTATTTGAGGTGTAGGTTTGGTGTCTAGTCAGGATACTAAGTACAATGCCTTGCTAGCCCTTCTCATTATGGGCCTTAGCAGGGCTCTGTCTCTGCTGTTGCTGTGTGGTGCTGCACCTCTTTAGGCTTTGCCTGATGGAGAGGGAAAGCTCCCATGCTGTGGGAGACCTGGTTCCCCCAGGAGCTCAGCTTTATGTGAGAAGCAAGTCTTGCCCATTTCAGAGTCGTGGCCCACAGGCAGGAGACAGCAGGCCTGTTGGAGGTAAGCAGAAACTGTTTACAGTATTTCAAAGGAACTGGAAAGACCAGGAAGGATTACAGGAAGACTTTATTATATGACCCAGACACTAACCATGCTCAAAACCTAGCTAGGTCCTGAACCAAGGAGAGGTTCCTTCCACACATTTTGTGGTGTCAAGTGAGTACAAAAGTGCCACAAAGGCAATTAGTGACCTTAGCTGAAAAAAATTACATTCTTTCATCTCAGAATGTTAGGGTGCTGGGAATGTTATCACCCCATTTCTTAAGTTTATGTGTGTTGGTACCCTGTATTGCGTCTTTAAGAGAGAAGAGTCCCATGAGAGAACTGCCTGATACGTTTTCCTCATCAGTGAGAAGAGCATAGTATTGCTAATGAGAAAGGCAAGTTCTGGTTTCTGAGGGAGGGGTTGATGGAAGAGCTGCTTGCCTGGAGCTGGGAAGATTTTACACAAAGAAAGAGAGGCTTGGTTTCTGTCAGTTCTGCCTTACTGTGACCTAGACTTCTGTTCCTACTGATTCTACTGCTAACTTTGTCCTGTTAATCTTCTGTACTACCACAGTTTCTAATGCTTTGTAACTGCCCTCACTCCATGAATTTTCATCTTCTGTGTCACTATTCTATGTAGAGTGGATCCTTGACTTAAGAACTCAGTTCTTTTCTGAGGGTTGATTGTAACTGAAGTTGTCAACTGAAGGCTCAAGCTCATTTACACAGCCTTCAAAGTCTTTCCTCTGTATATACAGGCAGATCTCAGTGACCTCAGAAAGACATTGGCCCAGGATTTCCCAATTTAGTCCCATACAGGAAAGGATGTTTTAATGTTCCTTCCAGAACTCTTAAGGGTTAAATCTGTATCTGAGACCACTTGGAAGCACAAAACATCCAGCACTTTAAAAAGATGTGAGCTGTAAATGTCAGGCTGGTCAGAACAGCAGGGTCCATTGCATTTGATGTTTAGAACTCCCCTTTTGGAGTCTACAAGATTGCTTTAGCTTCTAGCTTTCAGCATTCCTCTCGGCAGCATTCTCTATAAGAAGCTAGCTCGTATCCACCTAATTTGGCTCAGGAACCAACCCTGGTGCAGTAAGTCAGATTGTACATTAGAGCCATGGAGCCCACAGTTAAACCCTGGGGCTACTTTATACAAAGGAAGGCTGGACTTGGATCTGTCTGTCCAGGTCAAGGCTGTCTTGGGAAATACTGTTAACTCATTGCCTCTTAATTCCTTGTGATGATTTATAGCCATATTTCTCACACTGAGACAAATGGACCCACTCGTGCCAATCTTGGAAAAACAACGCATGCATACACACACATACACACACACACACACACAATGTAGCTTCCTCCAACTTCAAGTATAAAAACATTTCATTTTTGTAAAGGGTTTAGAATTCTTAAGCAATTATAATTTTTTAAAATTACAAGCATATTACACATACGATGTAAAATTGCACAAATTTTAAAGGTAATGCACAGGAATTCAGGAGCATTTACTTATGTGTATGAAGCAGAATTCTTGACCTAAGTTAACCATTCTGTTCTCCAGCACTGAACTCAAGTAAATCATACGACTTATCACCAAATTGAAACTTCTGTGAATGCTCTAAAAACAAATTTGTTGCATACATCACAAAATACCCATTGTACCCTGGCTTTCAATAAAAGCTTATCTCATTCGTGTAACTTCTGTTTACCAGCTTATAAAAAGACAGACCTCAGACTTTGCAGATTACTCCTCTGGGATCTGCTAGTGTTAATAAAATTTCCTTTTTTCTCCTGAGCTCCTGGCTACTATTGACTGTTTTTCCTACATTTACTCTCAGAGATTTTGTCTACAGTTCAGGATGCTTTGGTGGTCCTGCCTTAGCCTCATGGATTAAGTAGACATCACAAGTCAAAGGTCCAGACACCTCTGCAGGTTGTGGAGTCCGTGAGGGCACCTCTGCAGGGTGTGGAGTCCATGAGGGCATGTCATGTCAAACAGAGCAAATGGCCTAACAGCTCGAAGTAACGGGACATTGAAAGAACATGCTTGATTACTGAGCCTAGAGCAGATCTCGTTTTGTGCCCTCAGTGTATCTTCCAAGCAGGCTGTAGTTTTGTCAGCTTACTGATAGCCGTTGCTTGGTTCTGGTCACCTTAACCATAGGACTATGTAAACACATACCATAGCTCTGTTGTTACCTAGCATTTCTTGGGTTCTTTAAGCCTGAGATATAAAAATAAATTCATTCTGTCATTTTAATGCATAACGTGCTGTTGTGGGGTCTAAGAGACAGGAGGGCCCAAATGGGAAACACAAGGGTTTTATTTTACATGTGCATCAGCTTAGCAGATAAATCCAGAAGACTGAGCAGAAGGCAGAGGACAGATTTCAGCTCTTACACGTCTGGTCAAGGGGGCTGGTCTTCAGCATGGAGCTTGTGGACAGGCAGGGCAGTTTGTCAAGCTGTGACACTTTTTGTATGTTGGTGGCGCTGCTCAGTCCTAAAAGGGTGTCATGGAAGCGGGAGGTTATGAGGTTTACATACAGGGACAAGAAGATACTGCTTTAATGCTTTAAAAACTGTATTTTCTCAGTCTTGTATCTTTATAGAATATTTGATATTATTTTTTGGGTTTTTTGTTTGTTTGTTTGTTTGTTTGTTTGTTTGTATTTTTACCGGTACCAGGGATTGAACTCATGACTGCCGCTGAGCTAAATCCCCAGCCCCAAATATTTGATATTATTAAGAAAGTATCATTATCATTGTTTGCATGTTGAAACAGCATGGTAAAGACTTTCTGTTTAAAACATAATTGTTTCAGGTGCAGCTGAAAGAAGAGCCCAACCTATAGCTTCCACTCTGCCTGCAATCCTGGAAACCTCTAATCTGCTTCCATTTCTGAAGTTGTCATTTTAAAATGTTAACCAGTTAGGTTATAAATTACGGTTTTAAGGAGAGTGGCTATTCTTTTCCTGCTATGTAATTCCAAGAGTCATCTAGGTTTTTGATCAATAGTTCATGCCTTTGTGTAAAATTCCATTGTATATATGTATTGGTTTGTGTGAGCAGCCACTGTCTGGGCTGATTCCAATTGAAGGCTTTAAAAAAGAAAAGCTGCCATGAATATTTGAGAACAGGCCTTTATATGAACGTAAGTGTTCATCTTTCTGGATAAATGGTATGAGTGTAATTCCTGGGTTATATGGTAGCTATATAATTTGTTTTCAAAGAAACTATCAAACTCCATAATGGGTACACCATTTCACCAAAACTATACGAGTGATCCAGTTTTCTCTTCATCTTTACCAACATTTGATATTGTCACTGTAGTTTTTAGCTGTTCTGACAACTACATTGTGATCTTTCTGAGGTTTTAATTACCATTTCCTTAATGGCTAATGATATTGAACATCTTTCCATGTGCTGCTATGCCATATGTATTATTTGGTGAAATGCCTGTGTATCTCTTTTGCCCATTTTCTAATTTATGTTTTAACTATCGAGTCTTGAGAGCTCTAAAGTAATTTTGTATTTTATATGTAGATCTGTGGTCCGTGTTGAGTCTGTACGAGCTATAAAGGTTTAGGTCAAGTTTCTTGTGGGGTGACACATGCTAACTAATTGCTCATTGTCAGAATCAGTTGAGCATATATGTATAGGTCTATTTCTGGATTCTCTTTTCAGTTCCTTTGAGCTATGTATTTCTTCATCAGTAAAACCACATTCTTTAGTTACTATATGCTTTATATTGTGTGTAAAGTTTTCTTCTACTTTCTTTTTGAAGTTCTAGGTGTTCTAGGGCCTCTGGTTTTCCATGTAAATTTTGTTATAAGCTTTTTTTTCTTTTTTTCTTTTTTGGTACTAGGATCGAACTCATGACCTCACACTTGCCAGGCAAATGCTTGCACCACTGAGCTAAACTCCCGACCCCTAAGCTTATGTTTTCAATGGAAAATCTTTGTAGGGTTTTAATGGACACTTAACTGAATTGTCAGTTGTCAAAAATACATACTAAAATATTTGTGGAAGAAATTAAATGATTTTTATGTAGGATTTACTTTAGGATAATTTGGGATTGGTGAGAGTAAATGGATGGAAACAAGATTGGCCGTGATGATAGAGACAGTTGTTAGACCTAAACTCGTAAAATGTCTACTGAAATCTAATTGTGTATTCACAGAGTATGAATTTGGTATTATCTACTTGTCCCTTTTGTTTTTTGGTACCTTGCCCTTGCCAGGCAGGCAGTTACACCACTGAACTAAATCACCGGCCTCTCTACTTGTCCCCTTTGAAAGATTTTATCTAAGTTTCTAGAAGAGAAAGCAGTGATTTTTGGTTAGCCTGATGGTATTGAATTTATCCACAGTAAATATAACTTGATGTTTGTTTCATATTCTAGGCACAGCAGAAAAAGATCTAGAAAGTGCTAAGCTTGTACAGATTTTACACAGACTACTAGCAGATGAGAGAAGTGCTCCTGAAATCAAATACAATTCCATGGTCCTGACCTGTGCTCTTATCGGATCTGGTAAGTATGTATTCATCATCTAGTGCCCATTAATATACTACTGATGTCAAATATTAGACGTATGGTAATATTGACTGTGCATTTAAAAAGCATTAGAAATTAATTTATGGAGATGAGATTACTTTTACACAAAATATTAACAAACTTCTCAATATTAGAAATATAAAAATAGACAAAAATCAAACAATTATAAATTTCACTAACCTTAAAATGTTGTTTTATATAAAGAGCAAATTCGTATTTGTATGGTATGATACCAGCAAAGGAATTTATTCTAGAAATCATTGGGATGGATATATATATATATATATATATATAGTACATGGACTTTATAAAAAGACTATTTTACTGTTACATACAGTGCTTTCCTACAGTGCCAGTTAGACCCTGTTGGGAGTGGCGTTGAACTTTATTTTTGCTGATTTTCTGTCACGTGTTGAGAAAGGGATATTATAGTCTCCAACTATAATTGTAAATTTTTTTTCCTTATTTCTATCAGGTTTTTTTCTTCATACATTTTTTTACTCTGTTGTTAGGTGCATGTGTTGTTGGGATTGCTGTGGCTTCTCGGTAGATTAATACTTCTGTAATATCCCTCTCTGTCTCTGATAATTTTCCTTGCTCTAAAGTCTCCTTTATCTGATGTTAACATAGCTGTTTCTTTCTTTTGAAGAGTATTTACATTCTTTTTTTATTCTTTAGTTTCAACCTGACATATAGTTAACACTTGAAGTATCTCATAGACAATATATAGTTGTCTGTTGTTTTATAATCTACTGTACTGAAGGTTTTTATTTGGTGTATTTAGACCATTTATATTTAATTTAATGTAATGGTTTATATGTTATGACTTAGGCCACAGTTTTATTTTTGCTTTTTAGTCTGTTGTTTTCCTGTTTTTTTTTTTATTTCTGTGAGTTGCTTGAAAGTTTTTAGTCCCTTCACTCTTTTATATTTATAACTATCTCAAATATTTCTTCTATATTTAAAACTAAATTAGACAGTGCTATAATTTTTGTGTCATCTATCAGAATTTGAAATCGTCTTATGAAAAGTCAGACAAACTTTTAAAGTTTGCCTTATTTTTGTTTTTATTTAAAATCATTCCCCTTCTATTTAGAGAATTCCGTTTAGCCATTATTTTATGTGAGTGTGCTCGCAGCATCCTTCTCTTTGTTTCCCCTCTCTGAGAATTTCTTACTTTGCTTCATTCCTGAAAAATACTTTCCCTGAATAGGATTCTGGATTCACAGTTCTTTTCCTTCTATTCTTGAAAAAGTACTGTGCCATTTTGCTCTAGCCTCTTTTCTTCTGTTTTTGTGTCTTAAAACTCACAATTTCCTCTGTTCCCTCCATTCCAGTGTTGAACCTATTTTTATTTCAGTTATTGTTCTAAAATAATTATTGTTTGGGTTCTAAGATTTCCACTTGCTGCTTCATGTATTTTCTGTTTCCTTGCTGAGATCTCCTAGTTTTCAAATTTGTTTTAAGCAGATTTGTAGCTCTTTGTTGAAGCATGTTTTAGTACAGTAGCAGTAATTGGAACCATTTTTAGATGTGCATTGGTGGCATTTTAAGTCCATTTGTGTTGCTTTGGAACTATTACTGCTGTGTTCACCAGACAGAAACTTGTTTCTCATTTACCCTGTCCTTGCTTCTTGCTGCCATAATTCTGTTTCCGTCTTTGTGCGTTTTGACTGTTCTGGGACCCCCTCAGCTAAGTGAAATGTAAAATGTTTGTCCTTTGTATTTGGCTTATTGTCCTCAGCATAGACAGTCTCATCCCCAGTACAGCAGACATGAGAATTCCATTTCCTTTTGAAGACTCAGTGTTCCATTGTGTGTGTATGTAGGTTTTGTTCATTCCTCCATGGAGAAACATTGGGTTGTTTCCACCTTTTGATTTACGTAAGAATAATACTGTTGTGAACATTGGTATAAAAATAAAATGAAAATCTCTACTTTCAGTTTCTTTTGGTTATATACACAGAAATGCAGTTGCTGGATCATGTGGTAATTCTGTTTAATTTTTTAAGGTGGTGGAGTCTTGTAACGTTTCCACCCTTGGTGCACATGGATTCCACTTTCTTAGGGTCCTCACTACCACTTGTTATTTAATATTTTTCTGATAATAACCATCAAAATGCATGTGAGGTAGTATCTTACTGTGCTCTGGATTTACACTGTATTTTGATTAGTAGTAGGGGGAACTTTCCCTATGCTTACTGGTCATTTATAATCTTTATGGAAAAATGGAAAATATATACTCAAGTAATTTGTCCATTTTTTAAATTTAAATTTAGTTTTTTTGTTTTTGTTTTTTAGGTATTTTGTTTTGATTAATCTGTTAACAATGTTTTTCTATGTACAAAATTTATTTTGATGAAATCTACTTTATCTGTTTTTTCTTTTGTTACCTGTACTTTTGGTGTCATAAGAAATCATTGCTAAATCTACTGTCATAAAGTTTGATTTTATTTTTGTGTGTACTAGTGTAAGGTAAGAGTTTTGTTTTTTTGCACATGCATATTCAGTTTCTTCAACACCATGTGTTGAATATACCAACCTTTCTATCTCAGTGGTCTGTGTACCTTCCTTGAAACCTTCAGCCACATATGTGAGAATGATTTCCAAGCTCCTCATTGTCTTCTCCTGGTCTGTATGTCTGTTTTCATGGCATTACCACATTCTTTTGCTAACTTCAGCTTTATAGTTGATTTTTGAAATAAGGAAATATGAGAGCTATAATTTTATTTCTGTTACTCAACATTATTTGATAGATTCGGGGTACTTTGAGATTCCATGTGAATTTTAGGATGAATTTTTTCTCTTTCCACTAAAAATGTTCATTCAGTTTTAGGTGTCATTCACATCAAAATAAACACACCAGTTTGAGTTGTGCTGTTAAGAATCTCAACAGGAGCTAAAGTTCTGCAGTAAATGATTGGACCTCATGTTTGAACTGGGGATGGGTTAGTTGGGCATTATTGAACCTTGAGATTATACAGTGAGCAGCATTTACTCATAACACATTACCTTAGTAATCCTTAGCCTGTAGAATGATTTCTTTTTAAAAATTAATAAATACAATTTCTCTGACTTATTCCTTTTCTTATGAAGATATTATTTGTGCTATTGCTAGAACTTTTCTAGAATTGCACTAGGTATTTATAGCTCCATTTTATGAAAATACACATTCTGTGTAGGTAATATAGTACGATGAGAACTTCCTAGCATAAAGCCTGTTACCTTGTCTTTGTCTTCCAGAATCTCTATACAAAGAAGTGCAGGATTTGGCTTTTCTAGATGTCGTATCCAAACTTCGCAGTCATGAAAACAAAAGCGTTGCCCAGCAGGCCTCTCTCACAGAGCAGAGACTGGCCGTGGAGAGCTGAGAGCTGCCCTCCCCGGCACAGGGCACCTCCCTGCTGCAGTGCTGCAGCCTCCATCCACCACCTCCGCACCTCACTCATGCATGCGTGTAGTGTTCCAATACCAATTGAAGACTGCTGTAGGTACCTGCCTAATCAGATTTCTAAGCTCCCAGTTAGTGTGACCATGACCGTCCAGCAAGTCTCTGCCCATAACTCTTATATCCCTGTTGCTTGAGCTCCATTAAATAGAATGTGCATGTTGTAGCCCTATGATGATGTACACTTGATACTACATAATGACTTGCTCTTCACATGTGGTAAACTATGTAATAATGCCCTGGTGAATTAGAAACAGGATGTAGTCGGATCTGTCTAGCTTACTTAAAGATGGAGTCGAATAGTAAAAATAGCTCTATTTTTGGTGCTTGGGAAGCACAGTGACCAAAAAACCCGTGGCTATTCATTGGTTAGTCCTGCCTACTAACATCCAGCCCGTGGTATCCAGCATTAAATAAAATTCTAGCTCCCACTATTCACCCTGCAGTTCCTCCTAAGTATGTAAACTGTCAAAACTGCCACCAAGTTTCTGATTTCATATTTAATTGACAGCACAGTGCTGAAAACGAGTGCAGTTTTCAGTGTGAGTAGAGGTAGTAAAAGATATTAAAAGAATCCCTATAACACTGTAGCATTTGGAGTTTGCCCATATTGTATGTGTGATTTCACCTCAGAATGTCATCTGTTGATCAGCATTGTCCAGCATCTGTTTTTAAATAGTCATTTGGTATTTGTTTTCAGCTGAGTATGGCCTATTGGAAAATGAATTTTTTTGTTTTTATCATTCATGTTGAAAGCAAAAAATGTCATCTTTCATAGTCTTTTTAAATCTTACATTAGTAGGACATAGGAGGAAAGAGGAAGAATCAGGTTGCAAGTGCTGAAGAGAGGGCGGCAGGTTGCAAAGACGTAAGAGCCCGGTGCAGGGCTCTCTGCAGACAGCCTCACACTGGTCACTGCTGGAGTTTACCATGCACTCCCCCTCCCCCCAGCTGCACGAATCCTACAGGCGAGAAGCAAGCCGAGACTCCAGAAGAGCCCCTGGGCAAACGACAGTGTCCGCTTCACTGCCACTACCACCACCAAATGGGTTTTTAGAGTTGTGACACACCGTCTCTAAATCAGTAAAACATCCCTCAGGCCTACTGTGTTCACCGATACCCACATTTGACCACTACTGGCCTAGCGGGGAGGGTAGAGTGGGCTGCCAAGGAGGTGCCCGACCCCCTTCTCAGCATGGGACCCCACACGTCACAAGGTGATCTCAGTTGGAGGTGTGACTCTAAAACAGCTATCACTGAAGACAGTTAAAACTCAGTCTTCTGTTTCCTTTGATGCTTAAAGAAGGGACTATGATGCGTGCTTATGTTGTACTTCCTGTGAGAATGATTTTGTTCATTGTCTTTCTCCTGGGCTGGATAATGGACTATATTTTGTTAGGTTTTGAAAGCCATCTGTAACGTTACATAATAGACTGTCCATATTAATAACTTAATAAATAGTATATCAAACTATAATGGCATTACTTTTGTATTTCATCTGTATTTCCAGCCTCTCGGATCATTGGTGGTGCTCCATATGTGTCAAATGAATGAACACAAATGAATGCTTGCTTCCATGAAATTTCCAGATTGTCTGAACTAATTTCAGGTAGACTAATTGATAAAAGAGTTTGAGATTTTAGAGAGTGTGTGGCTTCAGATAAATATTTTCTTAATAGTAGATACACTGTACTGTTTTTACAAAGCATTAAAACTTTTCAACAAAAATACCCTAAAATCACCGATCTGAAGAAAAGTCATCATCTAGGCTAGCTGCCCCCAGTTCAGTGTTGGGAGGGCCTGTCTGCAGTGAGACTTGAGTGCAGTTTATGGGAAGACCTGAAAGGAGGGCCCTTACGGTGCCAGGGGTCACGAAAGGAGGTCGGTTACTGCTAAGCATAGCAGTTAGTGGGCAAGTCTACCAGCACCATTACCACCACATCACTTCTAATAATGCTTACTCTTGGTTCTTGAAGGCACAACTAAATTCAGTTGCTACCATAGCATTTTTAGGGAGAGAAAAGGAGAAGCAAGCAGTACAGCAAAGCTCTCACTGTCGATTAAGTCAGGAGGGAGATGCTGGAGTTGAAAACGTTCTAGAATGTTCCCTTTACCTCAGTTCCACTACCAACCTGAAATCTTGCTGACCACCCCACCTCCCACCCAGACTATAACCTTGCGCACCAAAAGGAATTGATCACGTATTGGCCCAAAACTCAGCAGTTTCCTCAATCAAATATGTTTTGCACATACTGGTAACAATGGCAGTGTTGTATGCAAGCTTATTTGTGAAGTGATTTAAAGAAACCTGCATGTGAAAAATTGAAGAAGTACTGTTTGGTATAATGGAGCTTTTCTAACTCCAGTCACTGTACAGTGTGTGGTAAGACTTTTAGGTGAGCTGGCCTTTTGGTTCAGCCCTTACTAGGATCACTAAGCTTCAAACCCATTCACCTCTGGGAGCCACGGCATTTTGAGTTACATTGATTGGGATAAATCAGCGGTAGCCGAGAAGGTGAAGGCATTTTTCACATACAGGTGTGGTCTCTTCACGTAGATGCCACGGAGCTTCCGAGTGTAAGTCGGGTGACTGAAGTGTGATGATGCTACTTTGAAAGTGTGCTGCAGAGGAAAGGATGTGTCTGGGGCTGTGACCAGTAGTTCCCAGTTCTGTAACTTGCTTTCTCATCAGGATCACAGGGTTGATAGTTACTACTTTCCAGGATTTCTGTGTCAAAACTTTCAGAGATTCAAGGTAAGGTGGCTAACGTTGAGATATTTTATAGCCTAAACTATATTCTGTCCCTTCTGCCAGCTTCCTACCTTGGATTCAGAGAGCAACCAGGAAGCTGGAAACAGCGTTCTCTTAGCGAGCCAGGAGCCTCAGGGTGCTTCTCGGAGTATGGCTGCATCTTCCCTCCGCTCGTCATGGGGCAGCAGGGTAGGCCCGTGCGGTTCTTGCCGTAGCTCTACCCTGCCTGTCTCAGCCTACCCTGGAGAGTAACTCAGTAATGCTATTAACATTACTTATTAATCAGGGTAATAAGGCTGTACATTAGGAATTTTCAGTATAGAACACAGCTATCAAACTGAGCTCCGTAGCTATGGTCTCAGAGATGATACTCTTTTTTTTTTTTTTTTTTTTTTCCTAATGCATCATATGGGCTTGTATCAGAGATGATATTCTAACACTGCCTATTTGTCCCCTTGCATAGCAACTTAATACCATGACAACTAACTTTATATGTGATATTCAGGCTATAATTGGACCAAATTTAAGCCATCTATGTTTGGCACCTGCATGCCCCCAACCTGGGCCCCCATTCCAGGTTCTCTTGCAGACTTGCTCTGCTTAGCAAGGGAAGACTCATGCATGTGAGCTCAAGACCACTCACATGCAAGGCCGGGGCCGCCCACCTGAGCAGGTCACCTAGGTGACCTCAGAGGAGCACACACATGGGAGCTCTGGTGGGTAAGTGACCTGTTACTTCCAGAAGCACCTGGCTTTTACTCCAGCCCAGCCTCAGTGCATCTCGGGGCCATGTCCCAAGTCCTGGGTGTCCTCATGGCATGTAGTCTCAGCACAGGTCACCAGGGCCCAAGCCACATTCTGCATGTGTTTTTAGGTTACTTTTTTTTTTTTTTTAACTTTTTATCGGTACCGGGGATCGAACTCACCTTCGCCTGCTTGCAAGGCAAGTGCTTATGCCTGTGAGCTAAATCCCCAGCCCCTCTGCATGTGCTTTTAGTGTTAGTCATATGGATAGATAATTTCCTGATACAGGATTAAAAATTTGTATCTTAAAGAAAATGGAAAACCTAATTCTATCATACTTTGAAGTCTTAGTTTCAGGTTTGGGATGTGTTTTTGTTTTTCTGAGACAAGTTTTCACTGTGTATCCCAGGTTGGCCTTGAACTCAGCAAAGGCTGGCTACAAATTCAGCTGTCCTCTAATCCTGGGATTAGAGGTATATGCTGCCACGTCTGACTTGGGACTTCTTTTTTTTTCTTATAACTGACAGAATTTTAAAGGTTTTTGCTAGAGTTTATCTTTAGAAATGTTAAAGCCTTGACCCAGCCTCTCAGTATGTACTACTTTTCTATGTAACAACAGATCTTTTGTTTTGTTTTGTTTTTTGTCTTTTTCCTTTTTATCGGTACCAGGAATCGAACTCTCGACTGCCTGCTTGCAAGGCAGGCGCTTATGCCGCTGAGCTAAATCCCCAGCCCCCAGATCTTTTTAAAACAAAGTTTATCTCCAGAGACAGTGGCTCTACCCTCGTAGTTATACTGCCCTTCGCTGACTCAAGGGACACAGTTCTAGAGGAACTGTCCCCAGCTGACAGGCCAGTCACGTCCTCTGCACACTCACAAGTTGCCAAAAGCTGCTTCAAGCTGGTCCACAGGAGGAGAGAATTGGCCTGGCCTCTTCTGGGCTGAGCTGCTCCCAGCACAGCAGTGGCAGGCGGATTCCTAACTGCATGTTCCAAGGCAAGGACAGGAGGTCAAATGGACCCGCCACAGGGAGATCAGGAAAGGATGCAGCTGGACAGTCCTTGGAGACCCCTAGTGGGCTCAGGACCCTGTAGGTTTCCAGAATGCCCCACTCCACCACCTCCCGCAATTAATCACTCTAGTGCAGCTAACAAAGATAAAGGTATATTGCTGATAAGTCATGATCTGCTTTTTTAACCCATACTACCTCATTCCAGCAGAAGTTGAAAGTGACACAGCAAGGTGACCATGTAGCTCCATGGTATCCAACAGTAATCACTAGTAAACTGCTTTACAGGTCGGGGTGACACACATGTTACTCCAGCAATTGTGAGGCTGAGGCAGGAGGATCCCTGTGAGTTTGAGGCCAGCCTGGACTTCTTAATGAGTTAAGACAGCCTGCACTGTGTCTTAGAAAAAAAAAAAAAAATCCTGTCTTCCCTTCTCCCACTTCTTTCTCTTATTTAGCTGCCTATAACAGAAATGGGGCTTGGGGTGCTGTGGGAAGAGTGGGTCCATACTGTCTGTGAATTTGACATGAGTCATCCCCAAGGCATCATGTTTGTCCCTTCAGGAGATTCAGAAAGCTATGACAGTTATGGATTGAGGAAGGGCAGGAATACAGAAAAATGACCAGCTGCAAACCAGGTTCCTACAGGACCACCAGCACACTGTGGGAACACAGGCACTCAGCGGACCTTGGGGCAATGGCAAGCCCGTGGGAGCTGGGGGCTCCCTGTCTGCAGCCCACACTCACCGCATCTGCCCACACAAGATTCCCACAAGGTTTCCCTGGAGCCTCCAGGGCCCTCAGCATCCCCCAAAGAGATGCATCTCCTCATTCATAAAGGCTCCTCTCTCAGAAAGATGAGGCAGAGGGGAGCACTCCACTCCGTATTGAGAACCTGGCCTAGATCCCCAAATCTCCCAAATGAGTGTATGGCTAAGGTTTAAAATAAATGACGTAAGTAGTATGATTTTAGGGCTCGAAGGATCAAAACTCTATAGAGTTCAGTACTTTGGTGGCTAAGACAAGGAATGCCTCTGGGCGGCCTGTATTTTAGTTTTCAAGCAAGGAAGGGCTTAGGATGCAAAATGCAGGAAATTGAACAGAACTTGGGTGTGGTTCAGTGACCTTCCCAAGTAACAAATTACGTTAATTTAGGCAAAGTATATTAGGAGACATCTCCATGTTGCATTTCACTACAGGGGTGAGATGCCTGCAGCTAATCTTTATTTAGTTTTTTGGAGTTGAGAGTCAGGTGTCCTCAGCTGTGACCTTAGCTTGCAGCCCTTCACATGGTTCAATTTCCAGTTTCAACAGCTCCCAACATATTCCTCCCTTTTGTTTAGTTGTCACACAAGATGAGTGGTCACTTGATGCTATTAGGAGAACTCCCATCAATCTATAATAATAATCAGTTACCAGTATAGCCAGCAATTGTCAGTGTTATTGATTTAAGCCTTTTATAGCTAACATTTTACTATGGCATTGCATTATACCTTTTGAAGTTATACTTTTCTACAGGAGGTTCAAGAACAGAGACCTGTACTAAATATAATCAGATTTTGTTATCTGTCAAGGTCAGTTAGGTCTCCTCAGGAATTGCCTTGGGACCATGCACATTGCCTCTTGGCTCTCCAGTCAGTGTCAGCCATCAGGATGAATCAGGGCCATTGCTTGACCAAGCTAGCTCTTCAGGACTTGGGGCAGCCCAAGCACTGGTGCCTCAGTCAGGGCTCAAACCCCATATATGTGGGGCTGGGACAGCCTGCCCAACCCACAGTGGCCATCTTGGATGAGCAGCTGGTCCTCACCGCACCGGTATACTGGACTGCGATCCATCCTCCACCCTTGGGGTCCCTGAACTCCAATCTAATGCAAGGGCTGGTGAACACTGCCCAGGACAGCCCAGGAACTGGCCCCAAGGCAGATGTTGCCTCCCAGAATGGCTCAGGGATCTCTGTGCCCACAGACTGC